GGTGATGAGGGAGGGGTGGGTGGGAGTGGGGATGTGGATGGGTGAAGAGGTGGGAGTGAGGGTTGGATGGGTGGAGGGTGGGCGAGCAGGTTGGTGGGTGTTGGAGTGGGGGCGCAGATGTGGATGGGTGAGGGTTGGATGGCCTTTCTTGGGCTGCCCTTCCCAACACTGCACCACCCTCTGCCCTGCCACACCCTGTCCCTCTCCCCTTTGTTATCTAGTCATCTAGTGTTGCTGTCACAGAAATACCACGAGTGGATGGCTTTAACAAATATATTCTCTCACAGTCTACGAGGCTAGAAGTCCAAATTCAGGATGCCAGCTCCAGGAGAGGGCTTTCTCTGTCTGTCTGCTCTGGGAGAAGGTCCTTGTCATCAATCTTCCCCAGCAGAGGAGCTTCTCAGCGCAGGAACCCTGGGTCCAAAGGATACGTTATTCTTCTGGCTCTTGTTTTTTGGTGGTATGAGGTTCCCATGTCTCTCTGCTCAATTCTCTCTTTTATATCTCAAAAGATTGACTTAAGACAAAATCTAATCTTGTAGATTGAGTCTTGCCTCATTAACATAACTGTCTCTAATCCTACCTCATTAATATCATAGAGGTAGGATTTACAACGCATAGGAAAATCACATCAGATGACAAAATGGCAGACAATCCCTTGAGGGGTCCCCTCAATCTTTAGGCCCCAGCACAAGACTGCCCCCACTGTGGCTGCTAAGGGTGTTGACTGATTAATGGCCTGTCCTGGGCCCTGCAATCCTGCCTTATCCCATCCTGGTGGGGACCCTGCTAGGCCTTCAGTCCATCTGTCCATCCACCCATTCACCCATCCATCCATCCTCCCGTCCATCCATCCATCTGCCTACTCGCCCACCTGCCCATCATCCATCCATCTGTCCATCTGCCCATCCACTTACCCATCCACCGATTCATCTACCCACACGCCCACCCACCTATCCATCCATCCATCCATCCGTCTATCCACTGACTCACTTTCTCACTCCTTTTTTCACCCGGCCTCCCCAGAGTGCCTGCCCTGTGCTAGGTGCTGTGGGCATGGAGACAAATCAGCCTCAGCCCTGCCTGCCAGAAGCTCACAGCTGCGTGGGGAAATGTTTAGACATGTACAAAGCAGCCTAAACAGAGAGGTGACATATTTTCCATTTTTTACCACAGAGAAGGGGTGAAGTTTGGGCATTGTCTTAGGCTGCGTTCTCTGGAGAAGCAAAACCAGTGAAGTGTGTGTGTATATGTATGTGTGTGTATACATATATATATATATATATGTATACACACACATATACAGAGAGAGAAAGAGAGAGAGAGGAAGGGAGGAAGGGAGAAACGGCAGGCTGCTGGCTCACAGTCTGCAGAGGCTGACAAATCCCAAGATTGGCAGGCAATATGGCAGGCCACTGGCTCAAGTCCCAAGAACAGGAGGTCAGATGATGATGAGCTGAATGCAGGATCCAGAAAGGGTAAAAACCCAGCGAGCTTTGCCAGAACATCTACATATATTGGAGGCAGGCCACACCCCCAAGGAAACTCCCCTTACAACTGATTGTTCCACATCATGGAGGTGATTATAGTATATTACAAAATTGAGGATAATTACATCATTACATAACTGCCAAACTACATCATTATGTAATGGCCAAGCCACTGAGAACCATGGCCCAGCCAAGTCGACACATAGCCTTAACCATCCCAGGCATGTTTGGTCAGGAGACAAAGTCAGGTGAAACTTGGCTGCGGTGACTGACAGAACAGGTTCGTCTCAGATGTCACCTTCTTGGGCTGCCCTTCCTAACACTGCACCGCCTCCTGCCCTGCCACACCCTGTCCCTCTCCCCTTTGTTCTCTCCTGGCACTTGCTAGGACCTGATACACTTGGTCTGTTAGTTATTTATCTTGTGGGATGTTTGTCCCCCTCCCTAGGGCATAAGATCCGCCAGGGCAGGGACTTTGATCGGTGTTGTTTATTGCTGGGTCCCCAACCCCTGGAACTCGGCACAGAGTGGGCAGTGGGGTTTGTTGCATGTGTGGGTGATGGACAGGGACAGAGAAGAGAGGGTGTAGGTGGCACCGTGCGGGTAGACAACAGTGAGTGGGTCTGAAAGTGAAATTACGATGTGCAGGACTGGGTGACTCAGTGGATGTGGGGTGGAGAGGAGAGGTGTCCAGGGCAAATCCTGGGCTTCTGGCACTACTGCGTTCGACACTCTGCAGGGAACGGAGGAGGAAACGAGTCCCTGTCCTTTTAGTCAAACAGCATGGCTTCAAGCTCTCATTGTCCAAGTCCCTGGCCTCTCAGGTGTAGCATCTGCAATTGAACCCAAGTCCTGAGTGCATTTGTCTGGCCCAGAAAGGCCCTTCACCTCCTTCCTTCTAGACGCTATGCTTCCATGAATGCCGCCTCAGCCTTGGGCTCACCCCTTTGACTGGGACACACCCAGAGCTTGCCCTGAATGGCCACAGACATGAGGTAGCTATGATTCCCATCTTGTGGATGCAGAAATGGAGGCACAGAGAAGTCAAGGGGCTTGCCTGAGGTAACACAGCCAAGCGTGGCAGAGCCGGGATTTGGAAGCAGGCAGCCTGGTTCCTGACCATACGCTGAGCTGCGTCTCTCTAAAGGCCAGGCTGGCATTGGAACTGGCCGTGGACATCACTTCCTGCCCTTTTGCCCTCTGCCATGGCAGCTGGCACTGTCCACGCTGTGTACCCCACTGACCCCAAAAACCGATGGGCCGGGGGGGCCCCCCCCCTTGGTCAGCCCTCAGCCGGCTCAAGGCCGGCCTGCAGGCCAGCCTGTCAGAAGGCAGGAAAACAGCTGGACACGTGGCCTCCTGCCCCTCTGCTAAGGCCCAGAGCTGTCAACACCTGCCCCTCCCCATCCTGCTTTCTGGTTTTCTGGTCAGTGGGGACAATCACTCTCGTTCCAGCTGTGTGGCTCTGGGCAAGAGGCAAGGAATCCCTGGGTGGCACGAACAGTTAACCAAAAGTTCGGCGGTTCAGACCAACCCAGAGGCACCTCCAAAGAAAGGCCTGGCGATCTGCTTCTGAAAACCCTAAAGAGCACCAAACAACAGTTTAGCTTAACTAGCAAATAGTGTCTGCCTTGAGCCTTATGCTCTTTTAAGAACTATACATTTGGGTTCAAATTGACAACAGCAACTCAAAAGATTCAATAGGAACCTGAGGGGGCAGTGAGTTTATGTCAATGGGGAAGGAACAACTTGGAAAAGGAGGGTGAGAATGGTTGCACAACTTGAAGAATGTAATCAGTATTACTGAATTATACGGGTAGGAATTGTTGAATTGGCGTTATGTTCTGCTGTGCGTAGTCTCAACAACAACAGCAAACATAAAATAAATTACAAAAACAAAACAAAAAAACCCCATAGAGCAGTTCTTCTTTGATGCACATGGGGTCACCATGAGTCAGAATCAACTCGATGGCAGCTGGTTTGTTTTTTTTTTGGGGGGTGGGTCGGTGTGGAGCCTGAGTGTCCCTATAGCCACCTCACAGGGTTGCCATGTGGCTGACGCCAGGCGTGTACACCGGGGCTTTGTAAACTGTGAAGTGCTGAGCCCCTGCCAGGGCCCACGACGGTGATGGCCACAGAGATGAGGCTCACCAGCATCACGCCCCCAGCACAGCCTTGGCTTCAGAGAGGTGGCTGGCACTCAGATTCCAGCCCTGTCACCTGCATGGCCTTGGGCATGTTCCCTCTCTGAGCCTCAGTGGCTCCATCTGTAAAGTGGGGATCATCAGCCCTGCCCTGCCTCCTTCCTGGGGCTGTGAGGAAGACCCCCGAGCCAGTGAACAAGGAGTGCTGGGTAAACTGTAAAGGGGGTGCACAGGTGAGGGCTCACCAGCAGACTGAAGTGACCTTGTATTGGCGTGGCTTCCCCTTCAGGCGTGACCTGGACAACTTGGTTAGCAGCTAACGTGGTAGGCCCAGCCGCAAGTGTTGGGGCCAGGACGGCTGGGTCCCTGCCACTCAGCGTGCCCTCGCCAGCCCCTGCTGAGTGCTGGGCTCCTGCTGGGTGGGGGACTCAGAGTGGAGGCCGACCTGGCTTTGGCCTCAGGGGACAGATGAAGAGATGGGACTGGGGGGTGGGGAGGGCTTGGGGTAGGTTGGGGTAGGTGGTGGGCATCTCCCAGGGGGCTCCGGGCAGCTTCCCCCTGTGCTGGAGCATCATGGTCTGTCTGCCCCCTCCCCTCGACGCTGGACTGGAGCTCCCTGGGGACAGGGCCTGGATTTTATATGACTCAATGCAGCCTCAGCTCAGAGAGTGTTTGTTGAGTGAATAAGTGAGGAGCCTTTGAGGGTTCTCTGGGCAGTAAAAACCAGTTGACATGGAATTCACCCCGACTCATGGCGACCACATGTGTCAGAGTAGAACTGTGCTCCGCAGGGTTTTCAGTGGCTGATTTTCGGAAGTAGAACTCCAGGCCTTTCTTCCGAGGTGTCTCCAGGTGGACTAGAACTGCCAACCTTTAGGTTAGCAGCCAAGCGCATTCAACATTTGTACCACCCAGGGGCTCCCCTACGGTAGGAGTTGTGTGCAAATTCGGGGCATCAGGGAGGCCAGAGGACAGACGGGGCCAGGGCTGTGACGGGTAGGGACTCCCAGCCCATCTCCACAGGACACCGTGGGACAGAGCTCCTGCTTCCTGGGACCTGCCATCTCCCTTGACCTCTCACATACTTTCCCGACACCTGGGTCCCCAGGGCACTGGGACAAGGGTCCTTGACTGGGGGTGCTGGGAGGGCTTCCAGCTGCCCAGCACGTGGGCACTGACCCATCTGCCGTTGTGACCACTTGGTGGCAGGCACTCTGCTCCCTGCCCTCTGCCCCCGGCCCCAAGTATTTAAGTCCCGCGAGGAGTGGACGGAGAGCCGTTGGGGCCACCGTGGTGGCAGCTGCAGGCATCTCCAGAGCAGGCAGACCCAGGGCCCGCCCACCCGCTCGCCCCTCACCGTCAGTCCATGGATTTTGTCGCTGGAGCCATCGGAGGTAACAGACACAAGGATGGGGGGCCGTGTGGGAGACGGCTGCTACTGGGGACACCAGGAGGGGCTGGGGGACATGGTGCTCTGCCCCAGGGCTGGGTAGACTTTCTGGTTGCCAGGGGGACCGGGGAGGGAGGACACGGTTTGAGGAGCTCCCCAAGGAAGTGGTGACAACCTGGTGTGGGTCATAGGGCCGGAGGAGGAGGGGTGTGGGGGATTCTGTACTGGACCGGGGACAGTGAGGGGCAGGCTGGGACAGGTCCTGGGTCCAGGCCTGGGGGCTGTCTGGAGGCCAAGGGACGCGGCTGCCTGGGGGTTGTGGGCGTGCAGAGAGATGACTGGGCCATGGGAAGGGGCGAGAGGGCCCGGGGGGTGGTGGTGAGAGGAGAGCAGGGTCTGGGTGGGGGGAGGACAGGGGGCAGCAGGGCTGGTGGCCCCGAGCAGGGACGCCTGGCTGAGCCCCAGCCTCACTGGGCCCGCGGGCGCGCTCTGAGGTCACTCTCTCTGCTGGTTCAATGTTTTCTCTCCTGGAAGGTCTTGTTATGAAAGATCCACCTACAGAGATAACAGGCCGGTTGGAAAACAGGTCCCCAGCCATCGATCCGCAGGCCTTTGATGCTATTTTGGGCAAAGCACCCTGGCCTTGTTTGTCTTGTGAAACAGAGTGGGTGGCTCATCCATCCTTCTGGGAATAGCATGGGTGGGGGCGGGGGGGTGCAGGAGAAGAGGATACTCCAAGCCTGGGGAAAGAGCAGGTGGCCGGCCCCTAGTCAGGGGGTCGCGCTCACACCCACCCATGCTTTCTGAGGTCTTGCTGTCTGGGGCCAGCCACTTCCCCAAACATCAGCCCCGTAAGGAGGAGGTTCAGAAAAGGGACTTGACTTGCCCAAGGTCATGTAGCCAGGAAGGGTGCCTAAGTCCACCGTCCCTTCCTCCAGAGCCCATAGGAGGCCTGGGTGAACAAGGCCCCTGCTCCATGCCTGACTCCAGGCCCTGCCCTTGGGGATCTCTAGTTCTGGAGGGGATGACGGCATGTGAGGGACAGCAGCAAGGCCATGTGGCAAGGGCTCTGACCAACATGCTTCCAGGCAAAGAGGCTGCCTTGAGCACGGGGTCAGGGAAGGCTCCAGAGAGGAGATCATGCTGTGGTAGGGCTTTGATGGATGAGTAGGAGTTCGGGGAGGTGTATGTGAGGGTCAAAGAAGGTAATTCTACCCAAGTCCCTCAGTCAATCAGTCATTTGCTTCATTTATTCACTCACTTTGTTCTTCTGCTCATGCATATTCTTTCGGCTTTGGGGTACACAGTAAACAGGGCACAGCCCCATGTCCTTTATTGTTTTCAGATCGCCCTCACCAGCCCCCCTCAGGGTGTAAGACCACAGGGACCTGCCTGCTCCTGCACTGGCTCCCCCATGGCAGTGCTGGGGGCCTGGACGTTGAGGCTCCAGTACCAGGAAGGGAGAAAGAAACAGTGGGGTGGCACCTGGCCCCCTGTATGCAGAGGGCAGAGAGCCTGGTCCAGGGAGCTGGCCTTGGCATTCGAGGCCTCTCCGCCAGGTGCACACACGTATCACAGTCTGTCCCATGCAAACTGGTGGCTCCAGGCAGTCCTTCCTCTTCACCGGCCTGGGTGTGCCTCTGGGTTTTTTCACCTCTGGACCCTTGCTCAGGCCATGCCTCCCCGCCTCATGTCACCAGAGCTGAAATGTGTACTCACGTCCCGGCTGGAAGCCAAACCCGTCATAGACTGAAGAAGGGTCTGTCCTGCTTGGCCTGGAGGCAGCAAACGTGGCCTGCTGGACAGCTGAACTGAATGCTCTCCCAAAACAGTGCCAGAGACCAGGCCGGGAGCGTCCTCGGCTTCCAGCACGAGACACCATTGACCAGGGAAGGGGAAAGTGCTGGCCAGCTTGACCCAGTTTTCTCATCTGCCACGTGGAGGGTGCTGCCAGGATTAATGGGACCTGTGCAGACAAGCAGGCCGGGGCAGGGTCGGCTGTTCCCGGAACCCCGGCATGAGCACTTCTCCCTCCTCCATAGGATGGGCTCGAGTGCCTTGAGGGCCCTCGTCCACTCTCTCACCAGGCTTCTGTGATTTCCTTCCAGGCGTCTGCGGTGTTGCGGTGGGCTACCCTCTGGACACAGTGAAGGTACGGTGATCACCAGACCCTGCTGGCCACCCCAAGGCCCCTGTTGTCTCCTCTGCCCATTCATGTCCAGAAGACCTTTCTAGAATGCTAGTCAGACCCAGCCTGTCCCTGCCTTCAGTGGCTCCCATGGTCCTTGGGACTCTCTGTCCCTCTTTCTCACCCCTGTGCCTCAGCTGTCTCATCTTAAATGGTGCTCCGAGTCCCTGCTCTGCCCACAATCAAGGGGTGACTCTACCCCTCCCTGGGGGCCTGCTAGCCTTGCCCTCAGCCTGAGCCACCCCTTCCTGAAGCCCACCTCTCCCACAGGTCAGGATACAGACACAGGCGAAATACGTGGGCATCTGGCACTGCGTCCGAGACATATACTGTCGAGAGCGGGTAGGTCTGGGGTCAGGGGCTGGAGGATGGGCAGGGAGTGTGGGGGCCTTGGGCCTGCCACTCATTAACCAGCCTCTTGGAGCCTCAATTCTCTCACCTGCCAAATGGGAATAACTGTGCCAACCTCATGGACCCCTGTGAGCCTAGAACTGGGGCTTGTAGCACATGGGGCTCAGAAGGGGAGACAGAGAGGTGACTGCCTCCAGGACAGCGAGCATGAGCTGCTGAAGATGTCGTTTGGGGTGCCTGGAAGTCACGGGAAGGCAGTTCTGTCCCCTCCAGGCTGGGCATCCCCTGAAGGCAGTGCTGGGTCAAGTCATCAGGGCCTCCAGAGTCCAGCTCAGAGTCCCCCAGAGGAGGGATCTGGGGACATTATCCAAAGTGAACTTGGATTTTGGTGTGGGTGGGGAGAGCTGATGAAAACTAGCAATAATAGAGCATGCTAGCTCCGCATCGGCACCACCAAACAGCTGCCTGGCTTGCACTTTCTTGGAGCCTGGCCCTCTGGGCTTGACCTATGTTGTCTCGTCAGTCCATAGCCTTGAAAGTTGGTGTTATGACCCCACTTTACAGCGGAGGAAGCTGAGGCTCTGGGGCAGGGAGTGACTTGCCTGAGGTCCCTCTGTGAGTAGCGGAAGAGTAGGGATTAGAGGCCAGCTCCCGGGGCCCAGGCCAGGGCCCTCTGGACAGCGCCTCTCCTGGGACTTGGCCTGACCTGCCCTCGGTCCTATCCGCCCGCCAGGTGTGGGGCTTCTACAGAGGCCTCTCGCTGCCCGTGTGCACCGTGTCCCTGGTCTCCTCCGTGTCTTTTGGCACCTACCGCCACTGCCTCGCGCACATCTGCCGCTTCCGGTATGGCAGTGCCGACGCTAAGCCCGCTAAAGCCGACATCACGCTCTCGGGATGCGCCTCCGGCCTCGTCCGCGTGAGTGGGGGCGTGGGAAGGGTGGGGTGGGGTGTGAGGCCGCAGAGAGGGCGAGCGAGCTGAGAGGTCATCAAGCCCAGTAGGTGGGGAAACTGAGGCTGGGCAAGGGCACACAGTGAGCCGGGGGATTGTGGATGAGGACCAGGGCCTCCCCTCTGGGCTGGGTTCTCTCTCTTGGCAGTGTACAGCCGAGGGGTCCCAGCTGGCCAGCGGAGCACGGTCCTATGGGGAGACAGAGGGGTTACTGAAGGGATCTGACATCCTCCCTGTCAGGGCCCCGGGGGCCCCAGAGTGACAGGAGGTCACTAGGAAGCCACCATGGAGCTGACTAGGAGGGCCCAGGCTGGGGTAGGCGGGTGTGGCCCCCTGCAGTCTGGGAATGGCCTACCTCAGTGTGGTGCTGAACACGAGGTCATACTTCACCAGGCAGGGCTGGGCCCTCATTCTCACCAATTGTCATGGAGACCCACCTGGCCAGGCTAGCGGATGAGGGCATAGGGGTGGCCTCGGCAGCCAAGGGCCTGCCCTCCTGGGGCTCACACTCCAGTGGCGGCGACAGACGCACACGACAGCCGAACGGCCATTTGGGGCCCCACAGGGGCTGTAAGTAAAGTCAAGGGCACACGGCCGATGCTCTAGGTGATCAGGCACGACTCCTGGAGCCGACTCTTGCTGGCTGAGTGACCTTGGGCAAGCTGTGGAGCCTCTCTGGGCTTCTGTCTCTTCATCTGTGAGAGAGGTGGTGAGGATTAAATGAGATCCTGGGTGTAAAGCCCCCAGCATGGTGCGTGACACAGATGAGCGCCCACGAAAAGGCAGCCGATGTCACTGGTGATATTATCACGCTACTGACATTACTCTGCTGTTAGATGCATTCAGAACCTGAGCCACAGGCATCTACTTAACACCTGTGCTAGGAGGGAGTGTGCTGCTGAAGAACGGGCTAACTTTGGCCTTGGGGGACAGACTAGTTTTGAACCCTTCTCCATCACGGCCCTTGGGTCACCTGCACCTTCTCAGGGCCCAGTCACCCCAATGTCGCCATGAGCAAGATGAGGATAATGATGGCGCCTCTCTCAGGTCCAGGGGTGTGCAGGCACCGTGTGATTCCTACTTCCTTCTTGCTCCAGGTGTTCCTGACCTCACCCGCTGAGGTGGCCAAGGTCCGCCTGCAGACACAGACACAGCAGTGGCATCTCTCGGCCTCGTGGTCCTCAACTGCGCCCCCCATGTGTCCTGTGCCCCCCATGCCTGCATGCTCGGTGCCCGGGCCCAAGTACCATGGGCCGCTCCACTGCCTGACCACAGTGGCCCGTGAGGAGGGCCTTCGGGGCCTCTACAAGGGCAGCTCGGCCCTGCTCTTACGGGACGTCCACTCCTTCGCCACCTACTTCCTCTCCTACGCCATCCTTTGCGAGTGGCTCACGCCAGCTGGCCGCAGTCAGCCAGGTGAGCCCAGGGCTGGGGCTGGGAGGGCAGAAGGTGGGGCCTCAGCCAGCCAGGTGAGACCAGGGCTGGGCCTGGGAGGGCAGGAGGGGTGGGGCCACAGCCAGCCATGTGAGACCAGGGCTGGGCATGGGGGTGGGGGCAGGAGGAGCTGGGCCTGGGAGGGCAGGAGGGGTGGGGCCACAGCCAGCCAGGTGAGACCAGGGCTGGGCCTGGGAGGGCAGGAGGGGTGGGGCCACAGCCAGCCAGGTGAGACCAGGGCTGGGCCTGGGGGGTGGCAGGAGGAGCTGGGCCTGGGAGGGCAGGAGGTGGGGCCTCAGCCCAGCAGGAATTGAGAGGAGAGACTTAGGTGAAGCCCTGCCACAGTAGTACCTGAGTGAGCCCAGGGTAAAATGGTCCTTCTGTTTGTGTGGAGACAGTACTAAGTAAGGACAGCCTGACTCTGTCACAGAGTCGCTGTGCAGCTGTGGAGATGTCACATTGCCTGCTCCCAAGCCTCAGTTTCCTCACTTGCCAGTAGAGTGACCCCTGGGCTCCACTAGGGCTGGGCCTCTGCCCTGGGTGCCCACCAGGCATCCAGCCCAGGCACGCGTGGGTCTCTCTCTGCAGATGTCTCGGGCGTGCTGGTGGCTGGTGGCTGTGCAGGGGTCCTGGCCTGGGCTGTGGCCACCCCCATGGACGTGATCAAGTCACGCCTCCAGGCGGACGGGCAGGGCCAGCAGCGCTACCGGGGCCTCCTGCACTGCGTGGTGACCAGTGTGCGGGAGGATGGGCTGCGAACCCTCTTCAAGGGGCTGGCCCTCAACTGCTGCCGTGCCTTCCCCGTCAACATGGTGGTCTTCGTCACCTACGAGGCCGCGCTGAGGCTCGCCCGTGGCCTGCTCACATAGCTCGTCCGGGTGCCCCCAGGGGCTGGCCCGCCAGCAGCTTCTGGAGGTTCTAGACGAGGCAATGGGGAATGTTGGAGTCTGGGCCACAGAGCCATGGCCCAGACTATGGACAGGTCAAGGGCAGAGCTGCCGGCAGCCCCGGGTTGGCCTGAGGGCCACACACGCCCTGCAGTGTGGGCCTTGACCGGGGGGCCTCTGTTTCTGGGCCATCTGTGCATGCTGGCATTGTTCGCCAGCCTCCGGCACCCCCATCCACAGGGCCCCTTCTCACTGCCAGCCGGTTACTGGGCCACCCGCCCAGGCCCTGCATCCACTCATGGCACTCAGCTCCCACTGCTGTGTATTGTGCTGCTCACCTACCACACCCCCATCAGCCCTCTCAGGCCCCTCGGGGTCCTCCCACTGGTCTCCCATCCCAGACGGGGCGTGAGGAGTGCAAGGCTGAGCTGGGCTGGTGCAGGGGCTGTGGGGTCCAGGCCCCGTTCGCGCCCTGCCCGGGCTGTGCAGAGGGGGTCTGCCAGGGCAGCTGTGCCCACGGGGCCTCGGGCTCTTGGGGGGAGCTGGTGTGGGCGTTGTCAAGCGCCCTCACTGCCTGGGAATGCCCCTGAAGGCTCAGTCGGAGCTGTTGCTAATAAAAGAATTCTGAGGATGTCAGTGGAGTTGCCCAGTGGTCTGTGGGGCTGCTGACCGAGTTCCCTGCTGCCAGCTCATCCCTGTACCCCTTGAAGCCTGCCTGCCCACACCGGGGGCTGGGGGCTGCTGGATGAGCCCTCCGAGCCCACGTGGCTGGGCTCCCGTTGTGCAGATGGGCACAATGAGGCCCGGCTAGCTCTGCTGGCTCTCTCTCGGCCTTTCGGGCTGGGAGCCTGGCCTGGGCTTAAGCTTGCCACAGGGGCTGTTTAGTGGGCAGCAGGATGTCTGCCCTCCTGGTCCTCCAACCTGCATACCCACTCTCTGAGCGAAACCTGGCTTTAAGGTGCCTTTCTGGAGAGGGCTGGAGGTGGGGAGGGGTCTGGATGCACCCTGAACACCACTGTGTGGGCACCTGACAGTCATCACAACGCTGAGGGAGCTGGCTCCAACACGGGCGGGGCTGCCAGGTCACACTGCAGAGAAGGGGTGGGGGTGGGGCTCCAGCTTCTCCCTGCGCCATGGGGCCTCCAGTGGGGTGACAGGGGCCCCAGGGCCAGGCCCAGCCCCAGTGCCCTCTGGTATAGCTCGCTCAGACGCGACCTTGACTGGGCCTTTGGCCCAAGCGACCTCCAGCCTCTGGTGGAACAAACACTGTCCTATGCCCAGAACTGTGGGTGGGCCTCCCTGTCCTGCTCCCCTCATATGATCCCCTGGCTGTGATGCATACACTGCTCCCTTTGCCAGAAACGCCCCCACCACCTGGCCTCACTGATCCTCATCTCCGGCACCACCTCCTCCAGGAAGCTCTCCTGCCTGACCCACCAGGCTGCTCCGAGGTGTTTGGCTGTGTGCTCCTGCGGGGCCCAGACTGTAAGCTCCTAAGGACAGCACCTATCTGGTTTGGTGTCTGTATCCTGGCTCCGGGGCCTGGCACACAGTAGGGGGTATGGAATAAATGAATGAGTGAATGAATGAATGAGATGCTGCAGTACATTCCTGAAAGTTCATCCAGTTTAAAAGCACACTGTGCCCTGGCAAGCGCTGGGAGGAGGGCATGGGCTAATGAAAGTCGTCCCTGACTCATCGTGGGCCCAGCCGCTGGGACCAGTTTTGGAAGATGACCACTGAAGGAGCGACTGTCCCGGCCTCAGGAGAGCTACTGGCGGACACCCCAGCTCTGAGGGATGCATCCCAGGAGGGTGGGGAACCTCGGCTCCCGGGGACCTGGCAGGTGCCACTGACCTGTGTCCCGCCCTGCGGGCTCATGCTCCACAACCTCCAGGTGGAAGGGCCTTTAGGGGAAGCCACCGCAGAGGGGAGCAAGCCCAGATTCACACAGCTACCCAGGCAAGAGCTGGGCCCTCCCACTAAACAGGCAAAGCCAAGGGTGCTCTTGAATCTTCAGGTGGGAGACAAAGGGCGGTCACTGTGCTGCCCCGGGCTCCTGGGGGCAGGGGTACCAGGCTGAGCCTGCTCTGCTCTTGGAAGGACACCCCCCGGTGCTGCCACTGGGCTGGGGGGAGGCTGTGAGCTGGCCCTAGCTCCACCCCTCGCGCCAAGTACTTTCCTGGAACGTGAGTGTGGTTCTGTAGCTGCTGCAACCGGCCTGCTCTCCCCCCAGCACCTGACAGCTCCCGCACCCTGTCCATGCATGTCCGGGCAAGCCCACTCTCCTCCGCAAACCACTGGCTTTTAGCAAACTGGTGGAGGTGGGGTGGGGCGCGTGGCCCTGCTGGACTCACCCACAGTGACTGTGGCAGGTCACTTGGCCATCTGATGGCAGGCACGCCTCCAGGCCCTACACAGGAGGTGTCATCGTCCACGCTGCACAGGTGGAGTGGAGGGGCAGAGAGGTGACCTGACCTGCTCGGTCACACAGCTGACGGGGGGCTGGCCTGTGAGCCCCTGGATATGGGCACTCCTGTGCACAGGGCCCGCCCCAGCCCACAGGAGACATGCTGCTGGGTGAGCGTGACAGCAGCAGCTGTGTGGCCCTGGGGACTTCCCACCTGTCCCTCATTTAATCCGTGTGCTTGGGCCTGTGACGTGGGCCCAACGAGCAGGGAGAGGAGGAACCAGCTGCCCAAGGTCACGTGGGGAGGGTCCCCCCGGCCCCCTGCAGCTACACAACTGCCTCTGGCCAGCCCTCGCCCAGCTGCCTCGCCCGCCAGCCAGGGCATCTGCTGCCGTCCCCGCCGGCTGCTGGGAAACCAGATGAAGTGTGAACGTGCGGCTCCAGGGGGACAGCCAGGGTGGGAAGACGGCTACTCCAGCATGCGTGACCCGCAACAGGTGGGCCTCGGGAGGGTGCACTTCAGTGCCCCGCGGGCTCCAGGGGGACAGCCCAGGGTGGGAAGACGGCTACTCCAGCACGCGTGACCCGCAACAGGTGGGCCTCGGGAGGGTGCACTTCAGTGCCCCGCGGGCTCCAGAACCACACACTTGGACCTCCAAAAGTGACCCACCAGACCCCAGGCCCAGCAGCAGGCGCGAGGCCTCGGCTCCCTCCCCAGATCTCCCAGAGGGGACTCGGCCACACAGACAGGGCAAAGGAAGTTTATTCGTGACAGCACAAGGACAGGCCACGTGAGTGGACCCTGCACCTCCAGGAAGGACAGACACATCAGCCAGGCCTGTCCCAGAGCCACACACATGCTGACCCAGACAGGACAGTCCCACCCACCCAGTGACCCAGCTGTGCGCTGCTCTGGGCCAACTTCCACTTCAGCCACGAGTCAGAACAAGGGGGTCTGCCGAAGTAACCCTCTCAGCACGGGACACGGCTGGAGGTGGCCCACCTGGTCCCGAGAGACAAGTGGCTGGGATCGCCCCGCAGAGAAAATGGGAGCACGTTTGGGGGACAGGAGGATCCGTGCGTGGTCTGAGTGTGTAAACCAGCTGCAGTCTCTCCCACAGAGACTCGACTTAGTAAAAGGCGGCCGCCTCTGTCCAACAGCCAATGTGAAAAGCAACCTTAAAGCTGGGAGGTTTCTTAGTCAAAAGCATAGCAAGGCTTCTAGCTCTCAATTCTTTTTTTTTGCCATGGGTTGAAATACACTTGTGCCCATTAAAGGTCCCCAATCAATTTTCCAGAGCGCTTTCCAGTTTTACAACAATGCCGTTTTGATCCTGGAGGTGCAAACACAGAACACCTATTCTACTACAGAGCAGGGCGCAACTCTATTTGGAACCGTAAGGATGCCTGAAAGTGGACAGTCCTCCTGTGGACTGGGACACCCTCGGCCCAGCCGGCTGTCATACAAACGCCTGCTTTAACAGATGGCAGCAGGTGCTTTGTGGGAGAGACTCACAGCTGGACTTCTTGGACCACGTGATATTAGCCAGCCCGAGCACCCACAGTATTTTCTCCATTTAAGACAGACAGGATGAAATTCACAGAAGCAGCAGCATCTATAACGCACACAGGCTAACAGACAGCAGGCCCAACAGCTGCCATTTGACGGAAGCCTACGGGGAGTGGCGAGCGATTGGGCTGGGACTTATTCACAAACACGGCTCTTCCGATGCGACAGAAAACAGGCATTACTGGAAGTCGAAGGTCAGCTGCCGGGGGGTCATGAACTCTTTCACAATCTCGTCGGTGACCTCCTTGCGCCGGGCCTGGTGCTCGGCGATCAAGGGCTGCAGCACTTCTATGAGCTCCTTCTTGAGCTCACCCGTGAGCATGGCGCCACTGCTGTAGTCCTGCAGGAGGGGATGGTGCCGCAGTGAGAACGGACTGTGCTGCCCCCACCCCCCAGCTCAGCCCCTCACGCCCGCCACGGCCTGGCACACGGCAGCGTGCCCACGTGGGAACTGTTGTTACTGTGGATGCTGCTGTTCCTGGGACAACCACCTGTACCTTCACCCCTGCTTTTCTCTTTAAAAATTCTTTTCTTTAACAACTCTGAGATACAATCCACATACCATCCCCATTTAGTGTGTATACAATTCAGTGGTTTTTAGTGTAGTCACGGGCCGGTGCAGCCATCCCCGCAGACAATTTTGGAACATTTTCATCCCCTCGACAAGAATGGCCTCACCATCCATCCCCTATCCCCTCTCCAGCCTAAGCAATCACAAATCTGCTCTGTCTCTACAGATGTCTCTATTCTGGACATGTCATATAAATAGAAGCATACAATCTGAGGTCTTTTGTGAGTGGCTTCTTTCCCTTAGTATGTTTCCAAGGTTCACCCCTGTTGTAGCATGTATGAAAACGTCATTCCTTTTTACGGCCACAAGAGATTCCATTGTATGGACGTATCACATGTTAGTCATTCATCAGTTGATGGACATTTGGGTTGTTTCCACTTTTTGCCTATTATGAATAATGCTGCTGTGAGCCTTCATGTACAAGTTTCTGTGTGGGCATGTTTTCATTTCTCTTGGGTCTATTCCTAGAAGTGGAATTGCTGGGTCATATGGTAACTCTATGTTTAACCTTTTGAGGAACTGCCAGACTGTTTCCCACAGTGGCTGCCCAGTTTACGTTCCCAGCAGCAGTATGCGTGGGTTCCAATTTCTCCACCTCCTCACCAATACCTGTTAATCTGACCTCTGACTGTACCACCCTAGTGGGTGTGAACACTCTTTTCCTTTCTCTGACTTGCCCTCAAAGTGAAGGAACAAGGGAGGATGCAACACTCCCAGTGCTGCCGCCACAAGGACCCTATAAGCACACGAAACAAACCCCTGTTCCTTCCAGCTTATGACTTCTGTAAGATCTTTGTTCAATTTCTTTTCTTGTCCTAATGGTAAAAGTAATACACGCTCATTAAAGAAATTTAATAAAGTATCCCGCACCACAAAAGCAGCAGCAAAGTAAAGAAGAAACCTGTGCACGATTCCAATACTCAGGATGACCACCGTTACCTTCTGGCCTATCCCCATCTAGTCTTTTTGCCCAGTGCATTTCACTTACACATAGTTGGTCCCTCACTGACTTAATCTGGTATCCCTTTTTCCACCACCACAGGCATATTTTCCTGTGTCACTGGGGAGTTTACAACTAACTTTACCCACATAGTGGAGTCTCTGTCCTTTGTTCCTGAGAGGTAACCTCTAAATCTTTGGAATTTCACCTGTGATTGGAGTCTTTGCTAGCCATGAGGGTTTATGCTAGTGGAGCGGAGGCTGGCCAGGCCAGAAAGACCACCAGTGGTGTGTTTATCAGCTGACTTTGGGGCTGGGCGGCATCATTTAATCGATCATGCCTATGTAGTGAGGCCCCAGTAAACGCTCTGGATGGACGCTCCTGCCTGATGACAGGTACTGATGCACGGGGTAGGGTAGTGCATCCTTTGCGACGTGGAAGCTCCACGCTGGGGGCCTCTCAGATCTCGCCCTGTCTCCTCATTTGTATCCTTTTTGCTGTAAGAAAACTGTGATCGTAAGGACAGGGTTTTCCTGAGTTTGGTGAATTATTCTAGGGAATTACTGAACCTGGTGGAGCAGTGGGAGCCCACAGGTCAGAAGTAAGGGGGCCTGGGGACCCCTGGGCTTGTGGTTAGCCTCCTGAAGGGGTAGAGGGAATCCCCAAATTACAGCCAGTGGGTCAGAAGTGAGGGGGCCTGGGGACCCCTGGGCTTATGGCCACATCCTGAAGGGGTACAAGGAATCACCGAATTACAGCCAACAGGTCAGAAGGGAGGCGACATGAGGACCCCAAGCTTGCGGCTGGTGCCTGAGGTCTTGGGCAGACACGGCAGTCTGGAGGATGGGGCCCTTTCCTTGTGAGGTCTAACCTGGCTCAGGTGGGGAGGGGCAGAGGAGGTAGAGCTGCGTGGACATCTGGGGTCAGACAGGATGGAGCTGACCTTGCTCAGCCTCTCAAAGTCTCTTTAAATAGTTCATGCCTGCATAACAATCCATCTGGTAACCCAATGATTCTTATTTAACTATTCTGTTTTAACACAGAACCTGTTTTAACTTTTTGCTACCATCACGTTCAACATCTTTGTGTGAAAAGCCTTTTCTGTATCCAGGATTATTTCCTCGGGAAAGATGTGAAGAAGCAGAAAATCCAAGGCAGAGCCTATGGGTATTGTCTGGGCTCTTTCTGCTCCCGGCCAAACTGCCCACCGAGAGGCCACGCTGGCGAACATGCCGCTCACCTGGTGGGCCTCCCATCACCTGATTTACAATCACTGAAAACCCCTGCAAAGTCGACAGGTGAGAGACCATGTCTTGTTGAAACTTGTTTTTCTTTGATGACCAGTCAACCTTTCTGTGTGGTTACTAAATAAACGACACTTTGCGTTTTCTCTTTTGTGAGCTATCTATTCTTGAAGTTCCTTGGCACACGGTTAGGAAACATGTCTGACCCTCCTCAATTTTAATCTCCTTTCAGATGGGCGCCGAGGAAGCACTGAGCACTCCTTAATGCACGGCCGTGGAGCCCCCCAGGCCCACGTGGGGACCAGCCACCAGGGGCGGGCGGCTCTCAGGCCTCACACTCACCTGCTTGATCTGCTCGAGCCTGTCGTCGTCCTCGAGGAAAAAGGTCAGGTACATGAAAGACACATCCACGTCACAGTTGCCCCCAAACTGCCTGTGCTCCTCGACGGTGTCTCTCCCTCCAGAAAACGCGTGCTTGTTGACCTGTGCCAGCAAGAGGACATGGGAAAGTTCGTCAGCCCTGGTGTGGGCATCCAGCTGGAGCCTGGGTGCTGGACATCCACCCTGTGGTGCTTTCTGTGTGGTCAGACTTCTGGGGCTGGGGGGCTGAGGCCCACAACAGCAGAGGAACCCCACAAACTGCTCCCTTCCTGCCGAGCCTGGGGGCAAGCTATGTGGGCTCACTGCAGGGGGTGAGGCAGAGGGCAGACTGGGTTTGGAGCCCTGCTCCCCAGAGTCATGGGGTAGTACCACCTGTGCTGAAATGTCTTCTCAGGTATGAACTTCCGAGAGAGGATGACGGGAGGTCAGCCTGCGAGTGAACATGGGGGCAGGGAGGGGCGGCAGCTGCTGGCACACGGGGTGCCATGTGATGGGCAGAGAGGCAGCACCAGCCCCCTCGGCCTGCCTTCCCATCACAGATAGAGCTGGGCACAAAAGTAAGGCTGGGAAGGGAAGGCAAGTCCCATGGCAAGTGGGGCAGGGGAGGGCTGCAGGCTGGTCTCCATCAAAAACTACGCGAGAGTCAGGCTCTGGAGAAATCCAGCTCTTTTTGGTGGGGGTGGCTGAGGGCTGGTGAGGGACAGCCTCACTGCTGGAGACCTCGGCAGGGCCTGCACAAGGCTGACGGGGTGCAGCGCAGCTGCAGGGGGCCAGGGGCTGGGAGGCTGCAAGAATAAGGGTAACAAGTGGGAGCTGCTCGTTTTCCCCCACAGACAAGGGAGGAGCTGGTGCAGGCGGCCCCTCCCGTTATCTGATGGGGAGATTCGGATTCCCAAGTTGAGGTGAGGGCCAGCTCTGGCCCTGTCCTGCCCCCCGTGACGCTGGCGACCACGGCAGTCCCGGGGGCTCCTGACCTGACGCTCACTGCTCCCCCAGCCCTCAGGGTCTGAGTGAGTCTGCTGGCCTGAGTGAGTGAAAAATGCCCCCGAGCGACCAACGATGCCATTAAAACAACTTCTCAAAAGCAGAACAGAATGACAGGTGGTTCTGCTGGAGGGGCTGGGCCTCCTCCCCTCCCACGCTCTGGGAGCTACAGCCTGAAGCGAAAGGTGAGAAAACGCCTCGCCTTTCCACTTTCCACTGAGGGCGGGAAAGAGTAAGCTGCAGCCGTTTCCTGGAGGAAAGTTCTGATGTTAAAAACTTCCTTCATTGTCCACCAGAACCAGCTCGGGACTTTCTAGAAGGGTCAGGGACCTGGCAGTGACTCAGCGTTGCATTACAGGCTCAGACAAAGGTTTCCATTGCTCCCGCTGTAACTGTCCACCCCGCAAACACACGCTGTGCAAACAGAATGTCATCAGCGTTGTGTAACGTGAGGGGATTACACAGGAGCTCGCAGTTCAACACAGAACCGGCGGCTGGAAAACAAGGAAGCGCAAACGAACTTCTATTTCTAGTTTCTTTGGTGACTCAACAAATATTGACCAAGTGCTTGCCGCACGCGGTGGCGGCTCAGCTTGGGGCCGATGGGCCATCTGTGAAGGGCAGCGGGAGTCCCGGGGGACGGCCCTCCAGGAGGAGGCAGGCTTCCAGCCCGTCTCAGCCATGGCGGCTCAGAGGCCAGGTGGGGCAGCTCTGCTGATTTCAGGCGGCAGAACCGTGGTCAGGCTGGTGACCCTCTGTGAGCCTTGTCTCCCGGAGAACCACCTCCACTATCCCACAACAAGAACGAAAAATGAGAAAACAAACGCAAAGTGCAGGGCCCAGTGCCCGGGACACACCTCTGCTCGGAAACGGACCACAATCTTTTCTATCTTTTCATAACACCCACATAAACCATAACTGTAAGGAAAACTGCCGCGACTGGGCTTCCAGGACGGAGTGCTGGTAAGAAAGGCAGAAAAAGAGAAAAGGAGAAAAGCTACACAATTTTCCTGAAAATTTAAATGAAAGGATACAAACAAAACAAATTATTCGCTCTCTGCAAACGGGAGGCTGCCTCGAGGTGTGCGGGGAGCAGTTAGGGATCCCGCAATCCTGCACCCCTCTGGCAGACGGTGCCGGAAGGACACGGTGTGTTTGTGTCTGTGTGCATGTGTGTGAATGTGCGCCTATGTGTGCATGTGTCTGTGAGAGCACCTGCGTAAATGTACGTGTGAACGTGTCTCTGCGTGAGTGCGTCTGTGTGAGCATGTGTCTGTGAGCACGTCTGTCTGTGAGTGTGTCTGTGTGTGAATGTGTCTCTGTGTGAGTGTGTCTGTGTGTGAATGTGTCTGTGTGTGAGTGTGTCTGTGTGTGAATGTGTCTCTGTGTGTGAATGTGTGCCTGTGTGAGCACGTGTCTGTGAACGTGTCTGTGTGTGTCTCTGTGTGTGAATGTGTGCCTGTGTGAGCATGTGTCTGTCTGCGAACGTGTCTGCGTCTGTCTTTCTCA